TTTTTTGGCTTGTTTGAAAGAATGCTTTAGGAAAAGAAAACCCACAAAAGAAACCCCTTACTTAAAAGGTAGTTTCCTTAAATACTAATATTAATATCATCTTAAGTATCAACTTTCCTGCCACCGTGGCTTCAGCTAAAGCCTCGTAAGTAGTTCCTGCCATAAATGCTCTCTCAGCTTCACAGTAGGGATGGACCTACCCAGAAAGAGAACATTAATCCCGAAACTGTTGCAACTCCAGTCTGAAAATGGGCCGCTGGAAGAAGAGGGGCCACCAATAAGGGCTGTCCTCAGATGGAGGGAAGCACACCTGCCTGAGACCCTGCGGGCCTCACACGTCCTGCTCCTCAGGCGGCCCTCTTACCCGGGGGGTGTTATGAACGGTCCGGTCCTACCTGTCTTAATACCCGACACCTCCAAAGCAAAGACTTTCCAAGCCAGTTTTGTTTGAGTTAGAAGAAAAACCAAACGTCATTTCAGTCTGTCACGTGATTTTACTCTCCCTCAGCCCTCCCCACCTCCCTCTGTCACAGATCCAGGGCCCTCTGTCAGACTCTGTGACAAACAGCGGTGGCACCTGTGACTTCACTAAAAGCCATCTTCCAATTTCATCTTCATTTCCCTGCAACTGGATTTCATTCCAGTCCAGAGGCTGTCTCTAAGCACCGACAGGTCCTGGATTTGAGTATACACCAGAAGGGCATACCGTGCCCATTAGACGATGAAGGAACCTCTAACTACATTAAAAATCTCACACACCGCTTAGAAAACAAGTAACATCACAGTTAATGACCTATGTTTAAGGAGAGGAAAAAAGTTAAAAATCTACTGTAGAGTTTTTATTGATCACTTTGCAGCTAAGGTCACCGCCTGTGATTTCTATCCTTTCTTTTACGCTCACCACGATTCACTTTTCCTCCCCTTGGCCAGGCAATTGTACCGAAGCCGGGAGACCTGTTCTCAGAGACGAGCCCAACCGGGAAGTCAGAAGCAAGGGTCTGTGGCCAGCGTGCTGCCCGGCTCTCGTCCACAGCACCAACCGCGTGCCAGCCCCTGCCCCCGTCCCGCCTGACGCAGACAGTCGGCCGGACCCCACAGAGTCGGCAACTTCACGGCTGGGGCCCTCAGTCTCCACAAGGTGGGAGAGGGCAGCTACTTTCCTGAGCGCCCGAGGGGTGGTCAGAGCTTTGTGTGAGGGAGGTGAAAAGGATGGTACGGAACACCCCAGGCCAACTGGCAAAGCAGCTGGAGTAACCCGGAGGCCGTCTCTTCCCCAGCTCGTTCCCAGAAAACGTGACTTTAACTGGCAGCTGAAAGAGAAAGAGTATCTATCTTCTTCCATGATGGCTTCTGGATGCAGACGACCCTGATCCGTCAGGGAAAGAGATGGGCAGCAGCGAGCTTCCTCCTCCCTCCTCCGGCAATACTTCCACATCCGACAAAGATGGCCAAGGAGGAGAGGCCAGGCGGACGCAGCAGCCAACCACTGGGGCCGTGGCTCAGGCGCACCTCCTCTCTGCCCCCGGATGTCCTCTTGTTTTGTTTTAGTGGTGGGAAGGGAGTGGTTTTAATCCTGGGATCCAGAAGGCAAAGCCTGCCATGTCTGCGTATTTATGATTACAGGGGGGAGAAGCATTACTGAAAGTATTTTCCACTTGACAAGGATCATTGAAAATGCCCAGGAGTCAGAGGGAGGCTTCGCGTCTACACTTGAAGTTACGCTTGTTCGATCAAAGGGAGCTACAAGGATCACAAGGTCACTGCTCGGCATCACCACACTTATGATGGTAACAGTGACCCCCAGAAGGTGAGTCGCTCCCCCCTTGTGGATCACTGGTGTATGACGCTGCACTAATTCCAAACTGTACCACCAGCACTAATGACAAGAAGAGAAATGAGAAATTCTGAGAGAAAAACCGTTCACAGGAATCCTGCTCTGAGGAACTGCTCTCATCCTACCGTCCGTCCGCCTTCATGAGCTGTTGCCAGATCCCACGGTCCTCTCAACCGTGCTGGCAATATCCTTGGCTTTTCCCTTCCCGCTGTTCCAGGCCTGCTACAAAGTCCTCCCTTCTCTCTTCCACTAAAAGAAAACCGCACAGCTACATTCTAACGAAGCTCCAATTTCAGAGAACACACCTGTGCCATTTCCAAGCTCACTACAACCTTTTCCCTGAATGGAAAATGCAGGGATTAGCAACGGCAAAAGGAGAGGGAAGGGGAAAAGGTGAGTTTTTTCCTTTTAGGTTTAAAAAAATGCCAGATGTTTCCTCCCTTAGTCTCTGAAGCCACCCCCCAAAATTAAAGTGATTATCACAAATAGAGAAAAGAAAAAAAGGTATTATGTTGTCTTAAAAAACAGACCAAGATATCCAAAGACAGCAGTACAGACATCACAGGTGGTCATATGGGGACCCATCATACAAAAGGAAGCCAGAAGTCACGAAAAAATAATTTGGAGATTCACCGGAGCCCCTCTGGGTCGTTTGTGTTTGTTCGTTTGTTTTTCTCCCTTTTGTTAGGCCACGTGCTATTACCACGATTCTCAGCACAGGAAAAAAGAAGGATACAGAGCAACGGAGACGGGGACCAGTAGAGCGAGAAAGAGTGTTGACAGGAGGGAAAGCAGTTACGCCACAGGCTTACACACGAGAGGGGCCGTCAAGAATCACAGAGAGAAGTGAGGGGCAACACTGACTTTATCTCTCGAAGGCGAGTGAGGGCGCTCGGCAGAGTCACTTAGTACTTCGGTTCGCTCGGGCACCTGCGGGACAGTTTCGACCTACAGGTGACAGAGGGAAAGGAGGTTAGAAAGCTGGATGCAGACGACCTTCTACTCACAGGTCTCTTTCCTCTGCGGTTCCCTCCTTGAGCTTCTGCCCTCCCCTCCGGCAGCCAAGACCCAGGTCTCCAGACTCCCCGAATAAGCAGGCTAAGCTGTGGTCTTCCCCATTCTGGGGCCCCCGGACACACGCCCCTCACGAGCTCAGAGGCTTGATCACAGGGCAGAATTCTGGGACACCTGGAAGGTTCTCACCACCTTCCCTTGACTCAGTCCCACGGACCCCAGCTGCAGACCCCTTAAGAACGAAAAGTCAAGGGGCGCCTGGCTGGCTCAGTGGGTGGAGCATGGGACTCTTGACCTCGGGGCTGTGAGTTCAAGCCCCACGCTAGGTGTAGAGATTATTAAAAAAAAATAAATTTTAAAAAAAAAGTCAAAGCAGGGCATTAACTGGGTACAGATGTGACCAGGTCCTCTTAGCCATTCAGGACACCAGGAGGCACCACCATCTTATAACTACACTCAACGTTGCCCTCCTTCCTCTATTTTCAACCTACTTTTGGGGAACAACACTTTCTTCTCAGTTTATATTGATGTCACTGGGGCCAAAAGCCAGGAGAAGAAGGAAACACGAGGACTTCTTACCGTATCGTGCCAGCAAGCAGTGGGTTAAAGGCATACAACCAGTCGTTCATGTCTTTGTCATTGAGAGCCTGTAGAAGGACCCCACGATGCTTCGTGCATACAGCAAAGATGTTAGGTGTCTGAAAGAGACATGGGTAAGTGGAAAAGTTACGATGGCTGCTGACAATGGGGACCACCCTGCCATATTCACAGGTGCCCAGCACTTCGTATTGAGGGTTCAGAGAGACCGGACACATAGAAGAGATGCCACAGCATACAACAGAGAGTTTGGAACTCAGCAGGGAAGGGCAGACGGTGGCAATAAAAAGCCAAGAGAGCAGGACTGACCTTCACCATGGCCTGCTGGTCCTCACTGTATTCCACCTGTGCTGTGGACAGGTTAATGATGCCACGCTCCACTGGGTCTTTGTCGCTGTTATAGATGAAGACATAAGGGCGACGGACCACGACGAAATGTTTAGCCCAGTTGCTATAAAGCGGTTCCTTGAAATGCAGGTATCCTTTCTTAGAGACCACTGAGCTAAAAAGGACAGTACAAGAGAGGTTAGTTTCTCACAAAAAGAAAGGAATCATGGCCTGAGGACCATGAAAATATGTCTGACCTGGACCTAGTCCCTATTATGAACAAAATAGGCAAAAGATCGCTTTGGCCTAGAATCTTCTCCGCTGAAGTAATACTGCAGAACAGCATAAAGCAGCACCATAGCAGATGCCTTGCAAGACACAGGTGAGCAGGATCCCAGCCCAGCTCTCTCCTCCCAGATTCCATTGGCATTAGACGGTAACATTCACCTCATGTACAAGAGCAGAGAGTAAATTACTGCTGATTTATTTCTTATACCTGGCATCCCTGGGCAATACAGTACTCACCCTGGTCTAATTTCTTCAATATCTGGAACAAGATTGAGAAATTCATTTTTTCCTGCACGGGCCAAATAGGGCGTTTCCACAGTTGGGACAATCTGAAACTGTTCAAATTCTGGGCAGGGACTAGAGGCCCGGGAATTGGCTTCTGGGGTCCTTTAAAAGAGAGAGGGGTTAGGGGTAACAAGGAGCTTCAGCAAGGTCAATCCATAATGTGCACAACCCCCTCACCAGGAGGAACAAGACCTCCCTCAACAGCAGGGGCCTTGCAAACATCGGTTCCAGAGAGCTCGGCTGACAAGACAAGCTGCTGTTAGGAAGTTAATTCCAAATTCAACTGGGGTCATCCTTCAGAAGCTACGAAAGCCACCACCAAATCACACAGTCCCTCTTCCTACTCCGAAGCCCTCTGAACAGAAGCCTCTTGGGCATGAACTCCATTCCCTTACATGTTTCTATTTAGTCCCAAGGTCACAACTAGGGCAGTGGTCCTCAAAGTGCAGTCCCTGACAGGAGGCATCAACCTCACCTGGGAACTTGGTAGAAATTCAGTCTCGGGGTTCTGAGCCAGATGTACAGAATCAGAAATGCTGGGTTGGAGTTCAGCCACCTGCACTTTAACAAGCCTCCCCAGTGATGCTGACGTGCACTAACGTCTGCGAACCGCTGCTCTAAGGGGCTGGCAGAGAGCACGCAAGCGGGAAGAAAGACCCGGCAGAGCAGAGCTGCAGCACCGAGCTGGCCCGGTCCAGGACAGTTACGGGAGGACTTCCTGTGCTCTGCACTGTGACTTGTCATCGCAGAGCAGCCTAGCCTAATGACGTGTATTCCACCAATTCTAAAATTTCTGAACACTTCACTTCACCACTTCTCGAGTCGGGATGCACCTTACAGCTGACGACGGGTCACATTTTAGGTAGCAGTGCTTTTTCTCTCTCAGTGGCACGTAAAATAATGTGTTATAGTTGATGACATCCTCAATTTAATTAAATTGCCTGGTTGTGTTACTTTCTCTGCCACGGTCAACTGTGGCAGTGCTGGTGTGGCAGGACAGGCAGCTGGACGGTACCAGGAGGGCTCTCTGACAGGTGAGCACAGTGAATGGAGACGGGCATAGGAGTTTGATGGTGAGTTGCAAACAAGTGATTACAGTGATGATTCACAGAATCTAGACTACATTTGTCTCTATTGTTGTTATCAACACGTTTCACTGTGTCATCAAAATACTTTTTCCAAAGTAGTTTCAAACTGCTTTCCCCACGATGAGGCTTCCTCTGTCGGACAAGATTCGGGAGCCTGATGTGAGAAGGAGCAGGAGCGTCTCCCCAGGACTGGGATATCCAGAAAAGGCTCCCACATCCTTCTGAGTACTGCCTAGAGGGATGGTCCTGCCCTCAGCTGAGCACCACTGAGCTCTAGGAAGGCTGGAACTTCCCCTGGTTCTTAAATTAGCTTCTCTCAGTGAAGTCTGGATACTTGCTTTTTATTTATTTATTTTTTAGGTTTATATTTATTTATTTTTAGTAGTCTCTACTACCAATGTGGGGCTCAAACTCACGACCCCGAGATCAAGAGTTATATCCTCCACCAACTGAGCCAGCCAGGCACCCCTTTCATTTTTTTTAACAAAAAAAAATTTTTTAAACGTTTATATACTTATTTTCCAAATGTTTAATTATTCTCTCTGCAGGGGCAGAGAGAGGAGGAGACACAGAATCTGAAACAGGCTCCAGGCTCTGAGTTGTCAGCACAGAGCCTGATGCGGGCCTCGAACCCATGAATTGTGAGATCATGACCTGAGCCGAAGTCGGATATGCAACTGACTGAGCCACCCAGGCGCCCCTAAAAAAAATTTTTTTTAATGTTTATTTATTTTTGAGAGAGGAGAGAGTGGGAGAGAGAGAGAGACAGAGTGTGAATGGGGTAGGGCCAGAGAGAGAGAGACACAGAATCTGAAGCAGGCTCTAGGCTCTGAGCTGTCAGCACAGAGCCGCATGCGGGGCTCGAACTCATGAGCTGTGAGATCATGACCTGAGCCCAAGTCAGATACTTAATCAACCAAGCCACCCAGGAACCCCTTATTTATTTTTTTTAAAAGCAAACGAAGGTACTTACTTCTGCTCCTGAGAGTTGCTCCGAGCTTCTACCAGAGAAGGGCAGGTGGAGGAGGGAGTGAGGGTGGCACTGCTGAAGCTGGACACGGACGGATCCCGTCCGATAGGAGAGACATCAGACAGCTGGAGGCAAACACAAGACAGCGAGTGAGATTCCGCTGGGAAAACAGAACGCCCCTGCAGCGAGGAGCTGTGGTATAGATGTATATATATGTACAGATTTTTTTTAAGACTTACAAATACGGTATGGGCTGAGTGTCATAACAGGAATCATTTACAAAAGAGGCAAGGCTGGCTTTTTATTTCGTGACTGTCCTCCTGCATTCAGTAAATGACCCTGTCTCTAGGAGCCCAGCACTTAGAACAACAGGCACTATTCTAAGAATATGGCAGAGGCCCCGCCCTGCTGGCGCTTCCATTCTAAGTGGAGAAGGCAGACAACAAACAAATCCACGAACACTCTGAGAAGTGTCAGGTAGTCCTAGGATCCAGTGGTTCTACTACTGACTATTTACCCAAGGAAAATGAAAACACTAATTCAAAAAGATATATGCACGCCTCTGCTCACTGTAGCATTATCTACACTAGCCAAGATATGGAAGCAACTCAAGTGTCTGTCAGTAGATGAACGGGTAAAGAAGACACTGTACGTATACACAATGCAGTATATACACAATGCACTCCATAAAAATGAACGACATCTTGCCATTTGTGACAAGATGGATGGACCTGGAGAGTACTATGCTAAGGGAAATACGACAGAGAAAGACAAATACCATGTAATTTGACTTATACGTGGACCTAAAAAACAAAAAACAAAACAAACGGACTCTTAAATACAGAGAACAAAATGGGGGGAGGTGGGTGAGGGGATGGGTGAAACAGATGACGGGGATTAAGAGGTACAGGCTTCCAGTTATACAATAAATAAGGGCGCCTGGGTGGCTCAGTCGGTTGAGCATCCAACTTCAGCTCAGGTCATGATCCTGCGGTTCACAGGTTGGGACCCCACATCGGGCTCTGTGCTGACAGCTCAGAGCCTGGAAACTGCTTCGGATTTTTTGTCTCCCTCTCTCTCTGCCCCTCCCCAGGGTGCACACTCTCTGTCTCTCTCTCAAAAATAAATAAACATTAAAAAAATAAATAAACAGGGGCGCCTGGGTGGCTTAGTTGGTTAAGCATGCAACTTCAGCTCAGGTCATGATGTCAGGGTTCATGGATTCGAGCCCTGCGTCGGGCTCTGTGCTGATGGCTCAGAGCCTGGAGGCTGCTTTGGATTCTGTGTTTCCCTCTCTGTGTCCCCTCCCCTGCTTGCACTCTGCCTCTCTCTTAAAAAATAGAGATTAAAAAAATTTTTTTAGTTTTTATTTTTTAATGTTTTTATTTATTTTTGAGACAGAGACAGAGCATGAGCAGGGGAGGGGCAGAGAGAGGGAGACACAGAATCTGAAGCAGGCTCTAGGCTCTGAGCTGTCAGACAAGTCACCAGGCCAATAGGCTCGACCCTCTTGAGATCATGACCTGAGCTTAAGTGGGATGCTTAACCGACTGAGCCACCCAGGCGCCCCCCCAAAAATTTTTTTTAAGAAGTAAAATAAAGGGGCTGGTCGGCTGTTAGCGTCACTTGCTCCCACTGTAGCCAGGTCAATGCATCTCGCTGTCCGGAGTTGATCGCGCCAGTGGCCTTCTGGCTGATGGCTCACAGATTGTGGAGCCCTGTTTCCGCATTCTGTGTCTCCCCCTCTGCCCTCCCCGCTCATGCTCTGTCTCTCTCTGTCCCAAAAATAAATAAACGTTGAAAAAAAATTTTTTTTAAATAAAGAAAAAAAAAAGAAGTAAAATAAATAAGTCACAGAGATGACAATTACAGCACAGAGAATAGTCAATGATGCCGTAATGATATCCTATAGTGACAGATGGGGACTATACTTATTATAATCATGGTGAGCACTGAGTGATATACAGAATTATTCAATCACTAAGTTGTACACCTGAAGCTAATATAACACTGTATGTCAATTATACTTCAATAAAGAAAATGTCAGATAGTGGTAAGTGCTACAGCAAAAAATAAACCAAGGAAAGAGGTCAGAAAGTTTCGGGAGCTGTTGGCTTTACATAGGGTGGTTAAGGAGTCGATACCTGAGCGGAAAGATGAAAAAGATAAAGGAGCCTATCATGGGAACATCTGGAAGAAGACTATTCCAAGGGAAGGGACAGCGAGGGTGTAAAGATCTGCTATAGGCAGAAATGAAGCTGGCATGTCTAAGGAACAGCAAAAAAGGTCAAAGTAACTAGAACAGAGTGGATGCTGGAGAGGCTCTTTAAAGTGTTCACCTCATGGGGCGCCTGGGTGGCGCAGTCGGTTAAGCGTCCGACTTCAGCCAGGTCACGATCTCGCGGTCCGTGAGTTCGAGCCCCGTGTCAGGCTCTGGGCTGATGGCTCAGAGCCTGGAGCCTGTTTCCGATTCTGTGTCTCCCTCTCTCTCTGCCCCTCCCCCGTTCATGCTCTGTCTCTCTCTGTCCCAAAAATAAATAAACGTTGAAAAAAAATTAAAAAAAAAAAAAAGCAACAACATTATGCCGCCAAGAACCTCAGGACCTCTAGTGTCCTGTCTTGCAGTGACGTACCAGCCCCTATAGGATCTTCCCTGAGGGATTTGGGGAAAAGCCAAAATGTTTCCCATCTGATTAACACCCTAAGAGACACCGGGGAGTACTCGTATCTTCAAAAGTCAGTGTTCTGACTCTAAACAATGAAGATATGTCCTACATCCTCAAACACGACGCTACCCCCATCTGAAGGCACCTAAAAGCAGGGAGACCCGGAGAGGAGATCTGAGCTCACCTTACAGTCACTGATGCTGCCATGCAGCTGGCTGAATTCCCGGTTGAAAGTGTGCGTGAGAAGTTGCAGGCACTGGGGACAGAAAGGCACGTGTAAGTTTCAGTGGTTAAACGAAGCCCTGGATGCAAGGCAGGAAGAGAAAATAACAGGCCTAAGACACACAGTGGGGCTCAGGTGCTGACCAAACAGCTCCAGAAATTAAATACGGATACAGCAAGCGAAGCCTGGCATACGTCTAACAAAGGTAAATTCAGTGGATTAAAAAAGCTATTCTCAGGACCACAAAAATGAATGGCTGCCACCACCACAGTTTGGAGCAACAGCTCCCCTTCCGACTTGTCCCCGTACTAGAAGGCGTGGAGACCTCTGGATGGAAGTATTTTCTTAAGCCAACTAGAAGGCCATTCGGTTATTGACACCCCCCACCCCGGCCCCCACCATTTCTCCATTCCACTGTTGGCCAGTTGCCCAGGCTCCATATGCCTGGGAGTCATCCTCGACGACCCCTCTGCCCTCTCCCACCCCACCCAGGCGACAAGGGGGGGCTGATTCCACCTCCCCGGCGTCTCTTCCGTGACTGCTCTTCCTCCTCACCCTGTGGCCTCTGGCCTCAGCTGAGACCCGCACCGTCTCTATCTGGATCACCATGCTAACGAGCTCTTTGTGCCTCTAGTCTCTTGTCACCACAAACCCACCTTCTTTATTGCTGCCACAGGAGTCTTCCTAAAACATGAATACCTGCTTAAAATATTTCCGCATCACCCCAGGACCCTCTAAACTCTATTCCAGTCCACAGACCCTGCCAGGTCTGGTCCTGTCCCATGTCTCCGACTCCATCTCCCGCCTCTGCCCACATCACCCGCATGATTCCCCAGCGCTGACGGTACAGCACACGAGGCTCCCTCTGGCGCAGACTTTCAAGGTCAGCTCGCCGGCGCCAGCCCGCGGAGGCCCCTCCTCTGGCTGCCCCAGGTTCCAGACACGCACCTCTATCACATACTTGTCACCCGGTTCCCTGGGAGCTCAGTATGGGTAGAAACCGAGTCTTATTCTACCTTCCCAGCTAGCACAGGCCTCGAAACAGAGGCCCTCAAAGGTGGTGGAAAATGAAAACTCCAGCTGGCTCACGGGGCCTCACGGGGGAAAATGCTCCGCAAAGAGAAAGGGAGTCACACCTTGGTAGCCAGCTCCTTCTCTCGATCCACCAGGCTTTCGATGTCCGTGGAGTCGTAGCCGCTGCTCTCGCTGGGGGTGATGGCACTTTCAAAGGTGGTGGTAGAGATCTGAGAGGAGATGCTGGTGGAGGTGCTGAGGGTCCCACTGCTGAGGCTGGGGGACAGTGAGTCACTCAGGGATTTGGGGATGCTGTCACCAAGTCTCTCGCGCAGCAGCAGGAAGTGGCGAGTTTTCTCCACCTAAGAAGATCAACACAGTGGCCTCAGCGAACGCAAAGCTCATTAAGATCTTCATAAGCGAAATATCGTGCCTCTACCACGATCGAAAGCCGAAAAGCCAGGATCACGTAGAGAAGGTGAGCATGCGACCCACACTTTGGGAGTTGTGCCCAAGAGTTCATCTGAGCAGCTCCTGCCCTCGGATACCTCGTGAAGGAGCTCCAGCTTCTCCAACTCCCACTGGTGCTCAAGGATGAGGCTGTCCCCGCGGGGCCGCCAGCCTGCTAAGTTCTCTTCTCCCCGCACATAGGCCACTGACGTATCCAAGATTTTTCTTCTCCTTCTCTGCATGCCTGGGGCAAGAGGACAAAGTCTTTTATTCAGAGAAAAATCTGATTCCATTTTTAGCTCCAAACACACTAATAACTCATATACATGGCAAACTAAGACACTTAGTCAAGATACCTGGGATTTTATTAATAATAATTCACCTCTTTTCCCCAAAGCAATTCTCTGAACCTCTTTTAAAACTGAGTTTTATATTCTTCAATAATCAGGGCGACTGTAACACAACCTGAGAAAATGCCCAAGTTGTTATGTTACATGAAAATACAGAAAGATCAAATTGTACCCTATGGTTCCAAATACATCCATACAAAGAAAGCAGGAAAGGACCATCCCCGTACTCCCCCCACACACCCACATTCAGGAGCTCAGTTAGGATGGCAGATGGCAGATGGCTTCAGCCCCATCATTTCCCATTAATTTCTAAAAATATACTGTTTTTACATATCGAAGATACAAACTTACGTTACTTAAAAAAATTTCTCAAGGAAACATCTGGACACCGTCAATAGCTACTATTGGGACTTGGATTCACGCTCAAAGTCTTTTTTTAATCTACATCTTAACTGCGGGCCCTGACCTTTTCCCGTATATGTTCTCTAAAATGATTCAAGCTCACCTTAATCAAATGTTATTTATTTGTTTATTTTTAAGTGTACTTATTTATTTTGAGACAGAGACAGTGTGAGTGCGGGAGGGGCAGACAGACAGGGAGGGAGAGAGAAAGAGAATCCCAAGCAGGCTCCATGCTGCCAATGCAGAGCCCGATGTGGGGCTCGAACTCACGAGACTGAGAGATCATGACCTGAGCCGAAATCAAGAGTCAGATGCTTAACCGACGGAGCCATCAGGTGCCCTCAAATGTTTTTTAAAACCACTGATTTTTGTCCATGTTCCGGTTTATAAATCTAGAAATGCAAAGGGCTGCTTAAGGCCACCAAGCCAGAGAGAGAAGTAACAGCAGCCCAGAGAGACATCCGAAAGGGCACCGAACAAGTTCAACTTAATAATTTGTCTTCCTAGGGCACAGGAAGTTCAAATTCTAGCTTGACAACACCTGTAAGGTGACACTGCCAAGTTACCTTTGGGGCTAACGTGGAGAGGGAAATGGTTATGAGGTCTGGAAAGCTAAATTCATTCTCACACACTCAAAGTTTTTATAATATGCAACAACCTCCTAACATTTTGTTCAGTACAGTTTTTGTAACTGTTCTGCAGGTCATAAACCAAACAGTGTTGTTACTCAGAAAAAGGTAACTCCCACCACCACCAAAAAACTGGCTTATAAAATATACTTGGTTTCTACAAAATTTTCCTACTCGTGTAGGTTAGATTTTTGACATAAAATACTCCAAACACAGGCAAAGATAACCATCACCTCTCTGACCCACAAGGGCTTACCTGGACTGCCCGTGTCTGCCATTTTGCATAGACTGAGTTCATAAATTCCAGTGACACGATTGCTATTTGAATTAAAACAAACACTTGTTTAACTTCTCATGGCACAAAAACAGGAAAATCTCAATTCTCTCTACTTAACACACTGTCTCCTCTGGAGGGACTGCAGCCCACCCTTAAATATAATTACAGACATTTCTCACTTCTTTTTTTATTCTGAACTTAAGAAGTATACTTTTTCCCAGGAGGAGTTTGTTTTCATGCAATCTTTTGAATTACTTCAAAGGATGAGTAAAATTGAATGATGAACCCAAAAGTTTATAATACAAAGATAAAAGTTAAAAATCTGTGTTTTCTTTTTTTTTAATTTTGTTTAATGTTTATTTATTTTTGAGACAGAGACAGAGCGTGAGCAGGGGAGGAGCAGAGAGAGAGGGAGACAGAATCCAAAACAGGTTCCAGGCTCTGAACTGTCAGCGCAGAGCCCGATGCGGGGCTCGAACTCACAAACCGCGAGATCGTGACCTGAGCCGAAGTCGGACACTTAACCGACCGAGCCACCCAGGCATCCCAAAAATCTGTTTCCTTACCACGAGAGACAAGACAGGGGCAGAGGAAGGTCTGACCAGAATGAAATGATAAACATCAACTTTGGGGGCATGTCATGAGGAAGGTTACTGAACCCTCCACTGTGTTAGTAACGCATATTTATTTTGAGAGAGAACGTGTGTGCACACATGCGTGGAGGAGGAGCAGAGAGAAGAATCCCATGCAGGCTCCACACGCTGTCAGCAGAGCCTGACGCAGGGCTTGATCTCTCAAACCTCGAAATCACGACCTGAGCTGAAATCAAGAGTCAGACGCTTAACCAACTGAACCACCCAGGCGCCCCAGTAACATGTATTTTTTAAGCTGAGTGGTGACACACAAACATTCCCTGTATTCGTCTTGGCGGATTTCTACAGATCTTAAATATGAATAAGTCTTTAGAAGAAGAACGTCCCAACGGTAATCAGTTAGAAATAATGACATCTGAAAGAACACTTAGTCCCTGAAAAACTGCTGAGTGTTCACAATGTAATAGTCTTCCTTCCTTCATAAGCTCGTCCATCCATCAGTATTCCATTAAATGCCAACATTTAAAAGTTACTGCCCTTCAGGCATCCGGTTGTAAGCTAAGCCCGCAGCAGCAAGCCAGGCACACTTCGGGCTCTGCTGACCCTGCAGTGGGCAGACCAAATGGAAACTAAACTTGTCTCAGAAACTTACGAGTCCGGTGACTTCGAGTAGCCACTGCCAAAGAGGCTGCGCAGAGAGCGTGGCGGCGAGATCTTGGCGTCCCGAGAGTAGAAGACCATGCACACATCTTTGGTGATGACCGCCGGCTGGATGCAATGATCCAGCTGAAAGCAGAGAGGGGTGGGCCCCGATGAAACCCAGACGGAGCACTGTGGCAGGAGTCTGTGCACTGCCACAGTTGGAGAGCTGGTCCCAGATGGGGGGCGGGGAGATTTCAGCTCTGCCAGTCGCTTCACCAGCAACTCGGCAGACGATGCGTGCAAGAGTAGGCGGTGGTCCTCGCAGCTGCTTTGCTTTTCTGAACTATTTTTAAAAGTTTTTTCTGTAATAACGGTTACTATTTATTGTTTCTTATGTGCCAATCACTGTCCTAAATGCTTATATGTGATCTCTCAACACCTTTCTGGGTAAATGCCATTATGTTTACCCTTGTTTAAGAAACGAGGGAACTGAGGCAGAGAGAGACGAAGTCCCTGTGTAAGGACATGCTGGCAGTAAGCGGCCGCACAGGGACCTGCGCTCAGTTGGGCTGGTTCCAGGGTCTGTGCTGTTAACCACGACCGGGCTCTGCCCACAACTGCAAAAACACGAGGCAAAGTTTTCTTAAACTCATACATTCTTTGAAGAATGGTGATTAAGCCACTAAAACTCAAGCTATAGTAGAAATCATAGGGCTTTTTTATTTTAAAGTTTATTACTATTTTTTTGAGTCATCTCTAACACCCAAAATGGGGCTCGAACTCACGACCGACCCCAAGGTCGGGAGTCGCAACCTCTTCTGAGCCAGCCGAACACCCCGTCATATAACTTTTCGATTAAACAGAGACTAGGAACAGAATCTCCTACAACCAGAACGGCAGCAAACGGTTGACAAAAATCTGTCAAATCATTCCTCTTCATCTCCCATGGTCATCTGCCCACTGCTCAGGGCTGGCCATTTGTGGCCATTCAAGTTCAGAGTCTCCTCACCTCTAGGTATGCTGACAAGGTCATGTAGATCTTTTCCCCATAGGGTGTCACTCGGTTCAGAAGGAGAGAGTTATGGAGGGAGCTGTCCCACACGGCCTCGAAACGGTAGAAGGTCCTAAGGTCAGAAAGGCGAGAGGCAATTACCCAAAGAAGTGAAGTCACCTTAGTCGAGGTACTGTCACTGTCAGTAACACTACCGACACCCACAAACACCTGCAATATATCGAAATCTAACAACACAGTGGAGGCTTTATCCCCTCGGAGGAAGAGGTAGGCCCCCCGTCTCTCACCCCACCCACTACCCAGGAGCACTCAGCTATGTCTCCCCCCACCCCCACCCCACAAGCCTGCTTTTCTGCCTATAAACATAAAAATAGAGCAATCAAAGAGATCAGGATGAAAAGGGTAAGTGGGTACAGACAGAAACTAAAGGAAGAAAGCCAAAAGGAGCTCCTCCATCAGTCAACAAAGAGAGCAGGAAACAAATCCTCAGTAGCTTGTAAACCTGTCTTCACATCACAGTCTGGTCTGGAGCCTCAGAAATGTCACAAACATACCTGAGAAGATTGATGGAGGAAAGAGGCAGGATAATTTAAGTACTGGGAGTCTTATTTTAAATTAAAAAACAAGTGGTTATCCTTAGCTGATGTTGCAGAAAAAGAATAATTTTAAAGTAGAGCTGGCTAACTACTATTTGTTACTTTTCAAAAAAAAAAATCCACATGAAAACCAATCTTACATTTAAATAACAACTAGAAGCTTGATTTAATGAGTACTTATAAACTTTTTAAAGTTGTTCTCGTATCTTCTTTGTAAAACCCCACAGGGCTGACCTGGCCTGACATCGGTTCTGCCCATTCTGCAGTCTCATCTGAAGCACTGTGCTGAGTTACAGACCAGCCCCCGACTGCCTGCAGTCCCCCCGCAGGGCCCACGCAGGCTCCGTAACAGGTGTCTACCTCCGACAGTGCATGTTCCATCACTACTGGCTCTCGCCCGACTCAGCTGGCAAGCGTTTGTGCACACTCTGCTTCCTGCCCAATACACTCCTCCTAACTCCTTCCCAAATGGTAACCTTGCTATTGCTGTCTTTTCTAGATTTCCTGTGACAAATAACTGGCGTATTTTCTCTCTAAACACATGCCCGTGCTTCCTTCTCCTGAAACTGTCGAGAGAAAACAATTCACTTCTAAAAGAACTCCCTAGCCACACCTCATCCTCCACGTGTCAGACTAGGGAGCTCTTCTAGAAGCCTGACCAGTTCATTTTGTAGCTGCTTCCACATCGAAGTCTTCCGCAAGTACCTGCCACTCTCTCAAACGCCTAGCTTTTGATGCAGTGTGGATGGGTCAAGAAAATACAAAGACACCAAAGGAACAAAGAAACATTTAACAAGACAGAGACAGGTAAAGCAACCAAGGGTCTCAAAAAGCAACCACAAAGGATGGCGGAAGTCTTCCTGGGCTCCTGGGCTCAGCAGAGAACACTTCATGCATCCACAGCGCCCTGTTTCAATCAAATAGTTCATTTTGGTTTAAAACACATTCTAATCCTGGGTGGTGATAAGCACTACTTGGGCAGAAGCTCCCTGAGAGCTCTGTCACCTGAGACTGCTTTTATTGTGTCCCTGTGTGTGTCGAGGTACCTGGATTGGGGCCTACCTGTCACACCACAAGATCTGGACACACCTGTGCTGAAGTGGAATGAACCCCCTTCTTAGAGCGAGGGCGTCTATTACTCTGGAGAAGCCGGACAGAAATCCCTGTCCCTCCTGCCTGTAATCTCTGACCCGTTAAATTTTCACACCGTGACTTAGCACCTCCCAGTGCCAATATTTAGGGTTCACGGCTCTCTTTCAACAGAGGCAAATGTTTTGAATTTGTCAAAGAAAAGCCTCTTCATTTCTGTTTTCAGGTTGGGTTTTCACTTAACCTAAGGAGGAAATTTCAGTGGTAGAACCTTGGCTAACAAAAAGGAATTTTTGACTCCAGTAGAATCTTCCTGCATTTGCAGGGGAGGGGATTTTTTTGTTTTGTTTGGCACTTGGGGGTGCTGCAGCACATTCTTTTGGAATACCCACTGAAGATGGCAATCCTTCAGAGATGGTTGTTAAGAAACAAGACTGGTGAGAAATGTCAACTGAATCAAGCTAGCAAGAGAATTTAGAATTAGAAACAGGGCTGAGTCCTGAGACATGTTTCCCTGTATGGCTCCTATGGTGGTTAAGAAATAATCCCAAATGGATTTCTCGAGATGTTCTGAACAATGGCAGTGTGTGTGTGTGTGTGTGTGTGTGTGTGTGTGTGTGTGTGTGTGTATCTTTAAAAACCAAACAGACATTTTAGGCTATGTTGTCATGCATCACTTCCTTAATTTTTCTTCCCTAAATCAGATGAAGAGAGATGGGCAAAGACTTCCTTCACTATTGAACCAGGACTTTTTTCTACTGCAAAAGAAGAAAATAGATAAGACAAGCAGTCCTGACAGAGAAAGAGAAATGTTTAAAAATAAACAGCCTATTTTTCACAGACTCAGCTGCCCAAATAGCTAAACTGGTCTCTTCTACGGCACAGGACAAAACAAAGAAAACAGTGAGTAATTATGCAAAGCTACAAAGCAACAAACCTTTCAAGCTGCTGACAGAGACAGGACAGACAAAGAACAGAAAACCCAGCCCGAGATTCCACGAAAGGAGGGGAGTAACGCTCTAATCGGTAATGCAGCAGAGGAAAACCCGAAGGCGCACAAGAATTAAATGGACAGGTCTAGTAAATGGAATGAGAGAATACGAACTCTGCCAATCATTTAAGAAGCTGTGTGTGAAACTATACACATCAGGAAAACCCAGGGAACAAAGGGTGCCGGAGAAGGTGTTGCTCTATCCTAGGTCTGCACGGGGAAAAACTACTAAATTAAAATAGTAGTCCAAGCAACGTAAGACATAAAGCATTCTGATAGACTAGAATCTTTATGTGCAAAAAAGCAAACAGAAAATACCTAGGAATGTCCTTATCAAGAAAGAGCCTGCAAAAACACAGAAAAGGCTTTTGTTAGTGCAGCAGTGGAACAAAAAAGGAAAGAGGAGAGGAAAGCAAAAGCGAAAAAAAAAATACATAAGACACATCTGCTGTTAAGCAAAGTAAATTCAAGTGGACAATTGACACAGAACTCCATGGGGCACAATTTGATAGACAGCTTACAGTGACACGGGTCCCTCTCTCCCAAAACATTTAATTAAGGAAAATGCTGGGCACAGAAGGGAATGTGGAGACCACCTCTATTAACACCCCCTCTCTGCAGATGACTCAGTACTGGAAGGGGTAGGAAGTTGCTGCAGAGTTAAGGGAAAACCAAAGCAATTCGGTAACACAGATGCGGGACTGGAAAGAAAAGCTGCAGTGGCCCCTGTTGGTCACACGCCACCATCAATACCCAGAGGTGCTCTCTCCTAGACACACGTGCACCACACACTCACACTGGAGTTCAAGTTCACCTTTAAACATTAAACCTTAGGCGAAAAGAACAAAAGCTCTTAACCAAATTCCATTTAGCAACTTGCCCAATTAGCTTAGGCTCTCCGTATTCCTAAAATGGAAAGATGGATGTCCATCACGCACTACACACCCTAAACTAGATGGGTATCTCATCCACCCAGACAGTCTGCTCCCCAGAACTGAGTGGTGTGCTTATCAAGTGTCAATAGTACCTGGTCTTGACCCTGTTTATGCAGTTGTACTTCCCATGATTATCTAAATTAATCCAGTATTAGGCAAAACAATGTAACGTGAGGGCAAAAATAATTTTTGTTCAGTGTGAAACAAAACTAAGTTGGACATTTTTAAAAGATTTGATAATGCTGAGTTGTCAAACAACTCAGCTGTCAAAAAACAGCTGTCAAACTAAGTTTGGGTGCGATCAATATAAAAAAGGGAAATATTAAAATTGTAATGACAGATGATAGAAAGCTGACAGGATTTTGCCATTCGATTTTCTTCAGAGGTTTCTACTTCTTGCTCCACAAAATTAAAAATCACAGATGATGAATTATGGGTGTGCTTTTGCAAGAAAGAGCATCCCAAGTCCAATAAATAAGGCTACAATTAAAGACAAGGCCTTGGCCCTACAGCAAGAGCTTGACAAGATAACGTACATTTCTGGAGCTTAAATTAAAACGTTCAAAGTGCATATCTTTCTATTTTCCTTGACTTTGGCCGACTTTTTTGATTAATTAACTCTACACCTCTATCGTGGAAGATAAGCTGCTTTTGACAAAAGCCAAATTCATTTCCTGCTGCATCTGACCTGCGGCCAGGTATGAATCCCGGGACTTCCGAAGGTCACTCTAACACAGGCCATTTAGCTCAACCAGCGTTGCAACCAAACATCATCCTTCCCTGTGAGTTTTGCTAAGTAGCCTAGGAATATTTAGGATCTATTTCTCATATCTGCAAAGAAAACATGGTGCATGCCGGCTGCCTCGGCAGGCGAGGATACCATGCAGGGTTAGTGAGGACTTCAGAGAAATGGTACTGCTCACGATTCTGCCCAGGAACGGACCAGGGAGGACCAGAGCACGCTTCTGTCCCTCTGTCCGCCCCGGCCCCCCATACAGGTACACCCTCATACTCGGTCCCTCTCCCTCACAGCGCCTGCAGCTCCTCCTACAGGCAAAAAGCGAACAGATATTTGCTTTTTTTCCTCTTTCCTATGCAAAACTGTAACACAAGGAAACGGTGGAAAAAAATTAACTCTGGCCCAAACTTTTAATCCCATTTCTGCCTTTTGTCTCATTTTTCCTCTCCCTCTTCCCAGCATAGATGTGAGCAAGTTTTTCAGGAATACACAGAAGTATCCAGAAGTCCTCCTGTAATGCAAAGGCAGTGTTCTGAGCCCACATCTGCACACACAGCCACCCGTTTCCCAGCCATTGCTACATACAGGAATGGAGTCTCTGTACACAGTGACAGAACTCCTTTCCTGGGGACGTGAGGGGCCCAGAAGATTTATCTCCAGTCTGACATGGGAAAGTAGACTGGCTATGTACTTTATGCATTGTCTGTCATCACTTGATTATAAAATGGAATTTTAAGGGAAGCCAGTTTAAAATTAAAAATAAAATAAAATTCATTATTTACAGCAGATAACCTTGGTCAGAAGAGTTTATACATATGAATTTATCTCCTTTATGAGTGAACGAAAATGAAAAGCAAATACTAAGAATCCTGGAGCCTATGCTGGCAGCAGCAAAGGACAAACACAGGAGGGTTTGCTGAGCCCAGGAGGGCACGTTTCCATGACACTTAGGACAGACAGACCTTTCCCACAGCAACCACTTCATAGGAGAGCACCTAGTCTCAGCAGTAATTAATTTGTACTTTTAAACCCTTGGGAAGAATGCTGAATTTTCTTTTTCTGTTCTCGTCTCTAAGACTGTGTTTCATCTACTCAAACTCTATCCCGGAGAGAGTATTTTCACTCAGTATTGGTAACGGATCCACATACGTGTAACTCCACAATTATTTCCTTTTGGAGAGCAGAGTGGCAGGGAGGAAAGGGATGTCTGAAGTGAAAGAGGAATTCGTTCCTGCCCCTGGACAGGAGTCACCGGCGAATGGGGAATCTAAAGGTGTGGCGTCAACCTGCACGGGGCTGACTCATCACGCTGCTCAGGGGCCCTACCTGCTGGAGTTGTGGGAGGACTTCAGGTACTTGGCAGAGATAATATTTAGGGAGAGGATAGCATCGACCGCAGCCTCATCCACTTCAGCCTTGTTCCTGATCCGGCCTACGAGGAAGAATAAAGAAACTAGGACAGGGGTACACTTAACAACACAACAGAAACTCATTAAGCCAAAGAGAGACTTTTAAACCTGTGTACCTTGGGGTGCCGGAAGGGTCACTTAGCCAACCACCAAATGGTCCTCCACTCTTCCCCCTGTTGTCTTCCCTTTCCTCCCCACATTTGGTCAATTGTGAAACCTTACTGACTCTTTGTTTGGAGTTTCTCATACTCATCTCAACTTCTAGTTCTCATACCACCTCCTGCTCACAAAGGTCGCCCCCTTCCCGTCTGGAACACTGCGATGGCCATTTCACTGATCTCCTGGCTGCTCACCTCATCCCCCTCTCCAATCCACCCTACACTCACCTTACAGAGACTTCTGAAGCCACTGCCTTCATTATACCACTTAAAAAAATTTTTTTTAATGTTTATTTATTTTTGAGAGAGACAGACAGAGCGTGAGTGGGGGAGGAACAGAGAGAGAGGACACAGAATCCAAAGCAGGTGCCAGGCTCTGAGCCATCAACATAGATGCCCGACACGGGGCTCGAACTTACAGAAGATCCTGACCTGAGCTGAAATCGAATGCTTAACCGACTGAGCCACGGAGGCGCCCCACCACTTTCCTGTTCAAAATCCTACAACTCTGTTTTCCAGTGAACACTAGGGGACGTACTGCAGAGAGGCTAAGAGCACAGCCTCTGGAGTTAGACTGTCTGGGTTCAAATCTCAGCTTTAACACTTTCTGGCTGTGAAGCTTAGGCATATTGAGTCTTTGTTTCCTCTTCTATGAAGTGTGATTAGCAATTCTTCCCTTACATGATTGTTAAAACCATGTTATATATTTGTTATGTTAAATAATATTTTTAGAGCATTCAGGAAAGTACCTGGTATAGAGTAAGGACTACACAAGAGTTTGTTAAAATAAAAAAAACAATAATAAAAAAAAAAAAGCTTGAAAAACCACTGCCCTAGACAGAAGAGAGTACAATCTCCCTTCTAGGGGTTCTTAATGTGGTCCACAGATACTCAAGGGGTCTATGTATAAAATTCAGGAGGTCCATGAGCTTGAATGAGAAAAAAAATTACAACTTTATTTTCATGAGCCTCTGACTAAAATGTGGCATTTCCTTCAATTATGAAGGGAGGAGACGATCCACAGGAAAATCAGCAGAAGCTGTGACTCTATCCCTGTAGAAATCAGATGTTTTCATGTCATACTAAGGTAGAATATCTCAACATTCATCACTGCTCTGAGTGATAGAAATTAGACCTGCTGCTTCTTTAATGCATTTAATGCATTAATATGAAGAAAAGCTTATACTATGAATTTATTTAGTATTTGAGCAATCTCAGTATCACTAGTTCCCTTTGTAACCCTATGTACAGCTGACCCTTGAACAACATGGGTTTGAACTGCATGGGTCCACTTACGCACAGTTGTTTTTGCAGTAAATACAGGATAGTATTGTAAATATATTTTCTCTTATGATTTTCTTCCCCCATGGTTTTTTTGTTTTTTTTAAAGTAGGCTTCATGCCCAGTGTGAAGCCCAAAGCAAGGCTTAAACTCATGACACTGAGATCAAGACCGGAGCTGAGATCAAGAGTCGGACGCTTGACTAACTGAGCCACTCAGGCGCACCCTCCCACCCTTATAATTTTCTTAATAATGTTTTTTTCTCTAGCTTACTTTAAGAATATAGTATATAATACATAAAACATACAAAATACATGTTAATCAACTGTTTACGTTATCAGGAAGGCTCTGGTCAACAAGAGGCTGTTAGCAGTTAAATTGTGGGGAGTCAAAATTATATGCAAATATTCAACTGCACTTCAAAACAATTTTTTTTAATGTTTATTTTTGAGAGACAGAAAGAGAGAGGGAGGGAGGGAGGGAGGGAGGGAGGGAGGGAGGGAGGGGCAGAGAGAGAGGGAGACATAGAATCTGAAGCAGGCTCCAGGCTCTGAGCTGTCAGCACAGAGCCCAACAAGGGGCTCAAACCCACGAACCGTGAGATCATGACCTGAGCTGAGGTCGGATGCCTCACCAACTGAGCCACCCAGATGCCCCTATCCAACTGCACTTCTAACCCTTACTCTGTTCAGGGGTCAACCGTACTTTATTTTCTACATTTAAAAACATTAATTCTGAGGCTATCCCACTGCCAAAGGGGTCCATGGCAACACAGGATCCAGAACCCTGCCTTGGACTCTAAAGCTTATACGGTTTATCCAGTTTTTTCTTCTCATCAGGAGACCCTGGCCATGGGTTTCTAGCCATCTGCATGTTAGACATGTTCCTGACTCTCTTTTCAAGATGTTTCTGTGTATGGAAAACAAGACAAATGAGAACCTTCTAATTTTTCCCACATCTGTTGAGATCCTCCTGGATCCTTTCCATTGTTAATTCTCAGCCCGGGGTCTTTCTCACTTGCCCTCATTTTGGCACTTACTCATCAAACTGCTCTATTTATTTATTATTTTTTAAGTTTACTTATTAATTTAAGTAATCTCTACACTCTACATGGGGCTTGAACTCATGACTCTGAGATCAAGAGTCGAATGCTCTACTGACTAAGCCAGCCAGGCGCCCCCCCACTGCTTTGCACATACATATGTTGTCTCCTCAACAAAACCGCAGGCTTACAATGAGCAGACACTTCTCTTATGCCCTCTCAGAAGCTTTCAAACGGAGCCATTCCCATGGTAGTTGAGTAAAATAACGGTTGGTTGCGGGGCACCTGGGTGGCTCAGTTGGTTAAGCATCCGACTCTTGATTTCAGCTCAGGTCATGATCTCACGGTTCATGACATTGAGCCCTGTGTCGGGCTCTGTGCTGACAGCACAGAGCCAGCTTGGGATTCTCCCTCTCTCCCTCTCTCTCTCTCTCCCCCTCCCGCTCCGCCCCTCCCCCAATCTCGCTCTCTCTTGTTCTCCCTCTCTCAAAAATAAATAAGCATTAAGAAAATAATGGCTGCTGGAATAACATATCCCTAATGATGGGAGTTGAGAAACAGAGTAGTTTCAAACTCTAGGCCGCATATTCTCCAGTACTCTTTCTGCACATTCCCTGTGTTCCTCTAAAAAGCCTGGCTCTGTCCTCAGCTGAGGGAATGTACTCACCTACCACCAGCTCACGAACATCCTTCCAATGGAGCTCACTCCCCTTCTCATGGATAATGGTCACCGTGATCCTTCGCTGGATGCCCTAGGTAACGGAGCAGGCTTGTAATTTAGCTGGGACAATCTAGGATTTCCTCTTGTGTGCTGTTTTCTGGACTGCATGGTGTGCGGGTGGGCAAGACGAGAGGAACGGAGAGGGGGAAATGCTGTCCCCACTCTCTCTCTCTCTTTTTTTTTTTTTTTAAAGTAGGCTCCACACCCAATGTGGGGCTTGAACTCACAACACCCTGAGATCAGTCACACGTTCTACTGACTGAGCCGCCTTGGCGCCCCTCCACGGTTACTCTAAACAAAGGGATATAGGTCAGGGACTGAGGAAGAGCCAGGTTCTGATATGGCTTCAAGAACAAGTGACTAGATGGTAGACCCAGAATATGAGACCCTCAGCTCCTATGCCCACCTGGGTGATAAGCATTTTTCTTAAAGATTTTACTTTTAAGTAATCTCTACACCCAATGTGGGGCTTAAACTCACAACCCCGAGAGCAAGAGTCACGGGCTCCGCTGACGGAGCCAGCCAGGCGCCCCGGGCATAAGCATGTTGGAGCACTGACCGAATCCACTATTGATTTACCAAAGGAGGACACCTGTATTTCATGGCCAGATTTTAGTCCATTGCAACTTTCATCCTCTATCCCCATTAAGAACTTTTAACTATAAAAGTACGGTCTCCACACATGGAAACTATATACAAGAAGATAAAATTGCATAAAATGACATGCGAGCTGCACAAATTATAGTAGTTGAATAAAAGTCTTTTTCAAAATAGGTCTCTCAAAATATATTTCTACGTATGAGCAAGGGTATAATACAAGCCAAGGTCTGAGGAAGAAACATTAAAAAATGCACAAAAAAGGAAAAAAAAGTACAGTGTCTCCTGATCCCCAAATCTGCTTAAAGTGGAGAGGGAAAACAGAGACACAGAAAGAGCTCTGTTTTGGTTCTCTCCTAGGCCCTCTCTGGCTCCCTCATTAGTACCTGGTGAAGCAAAAATGTCCCCTGGCAGGGCAAGCCTGCTGTGTGGTCAACCACGGCTGGGATGTACCTAGAAGAACAGAAACGCAGAGAAAGCAGTCAGACGGGACGCCTGCGCGGAGGGCTCCGCCCGCAAGGTCTTCTCTGCTGCGACATCCCCCAGTGGTCTCGGTTTCTTCCTCACCATTTGGGCATTCAGTGAGTCACACGGTCACTTGCATTTAATAGACCTTCTCACGTATCCGTGCCACATCCCCCTTACTAGACCCAAGTGCTCAAAGCACAGTAACATTTTTGGCTCCCGCCCAGCCTCCTGCATAACAGATATTCCATAAATAATGTACAACTGCAACAGCAAGTGTCAGGAGGTAGGAAAGGGGTCATTTCAGATTTCAGGTAGTTTTTAAGGATCAGAAAGCAATTAACTCAGTAGAAACTACTACTATAACTATGTCTCCCTCATGACGCAAGTTATAATCACATTATAGATCTGTGTACGGAAAGTACAGCTTCTTAAAGCCGTGTCACTACTGACAACGAAATATGGGACTGATACAGCCAGACTCTCCTATCAGTAGGAACACAAAAAATGTTTCATGGAGATGATCGTGAGGGTGATTCTCAGCATTATAAACAGAGGATCATTAGGATAACATTTTTTCCTTACCCTTTACATTAACCAGTAAAGCCCCTTGCCTCTGTTTCAGGAATGGGATCTTTATTTGTGTTTTTCCAAACGCAATTAGAGACAACTGTGAACAAGAATTATATTCACCACTCGCTCTAACACAGCTCACAGAGAGTAAGCTGATGTTGATTCTTTTCATCTAGGACAACAGACCTCAACCGGGGGTGATTTGTAACGTCTGAGGACATTTTTGGTTGTCACACTGAAGGCAGGTGCTACTGGCCCCTTGTGAGAAGAAGCCAGGGATGCAACTACATATCCTACGATACACAGGACCGCCCCCATGACGGAGACTTATCTGGCCCAAAACAGTGCTAAGGCTGAGAAACCCTGGTCTAAACATTCTGCCCCCAAATCCTCTCACTGAGATTATTAAGATAAGTTGTGACTATATTATGCACAAAATGCTTCTGATTCCCTTTGCTCTGCTGCTATTAAAACCCACTGTGTAAGTTTTCTTCCCTCATACAAGGTGCCAGTCTCCACGTTCTTGCTGTTGCTAACAAGAAGGCAAATTAGTATTCTGGACAGTCCCTTCTTTGGCAAACATCTAATTCAAAAGAATAACACCACCAAAAATTCACTTCAAAACGGGAAGTCAACAGTGACGATGATTCATTAACCTGAATATGAGCAGAGAGGCTCAAAATTGCGTTTTTTAATTTTGAAAAACTTTGCCCTTGTTTAAAAATTTAGAAAGTTGGACTTACTCTCCTGTAGGCTCCAGTTCACTGATCTCAAACCAAACCAGAAGATCGTACTTGCTCATGCTCTGGCCAAGGCTGGTTTTGCTCATGGTGTTTAACTTGGTAGCTGGAACTTTCAAAAGTTTTTAGAAAATGTCAAAATCTGGTCCAAGTCTACTTAGTAAAAGTATAAACTTCTCTTCAAGGACACACTTGGGAAAAAGGCAACGGAAGTCAGGGCTCCATTTCAATGCAGAAGACTCGGAAAAATGTCACCATCTACTGCATTAGTGACTCTAAATTCAGAGAACTGGGAAAATGGAGAGTCGGCTTCTTGCTGCCTCTCAACAAACGGTATCCACTGACAAGAAAGTGGGTTCCGTGCAGAGTGAACGTGCTCACAAAACTATTCAAAGACCTTCCTCAGACTGTCGTATGTTCTGGCATGTGTAGCACGGTAACACTGTGGGAGAGACGGTGTGGACAGAGCCTCGTACGTCACAGGCTCTCTTCAAAGCTGGAGTGCGTGAAGGAGAACCCGTGCTCCCACCCAGTGGTGCCCAAACCTCCCTGCGCACTGGAGTCACCCAGGGATCTTAAAGCAAAGCCCAGGCAAGTAAATCATAATCTCCAGGGGTGGGACCCAGTCCGCCAAGAAGACTGAACCCCGTCTAGGGACTCTAATGTGCGGGTAAGTTTAGGAACCACTGGTCCAAGATGCAAATACAGGATTCTATAAATGATCTTACGTTACACATTTTCTTCACATTTAAATTCCATGTTATTAACTGTACTGGTGAAATAAGTTAGCCAAAAACACAGTATTTCCAAGAATTCCAAATTCTACGTGGTGGGTATTTTGAAACGCTACACAGAAATTCTAAAATCTGGCAATGCAAAGAGCGCTCTCTGCTCAGAACCTGGGAGCACTGGAGTGAGAGTCCGGTGGCTTGGGATCTAATACCGTTCAATCACTAACTATCTATGTGACTTGGGTTGAGTTGCTTAATCTCTGGGAGTCTGTCTCCTCATCTACAAAACGTAGATCGTTAATATTTAGCCTGCTATCTTGAAAAGGTATCGTGAGGACCCACTCATAGATACCTGGGTATTTAGATACCCAGGAAGTATCTAAAGGGGCCCAATACATACAGCACCAGTCAAATGTTAGCCTGTCTGCACTATTCACTCCAGCTGAATTCCACACTAGTTGGTGATGCTAGTCAAGAAAAAAATAGTGTCACTGATTCTGGTGATCACCTGATGGTCAGAAAGTGAAATCAGAAGCATTAAAAAAACAAAAACAAAACCCACTCGCTAATAAAAATCTTGAAAATTAAAGATACCATTACAAAGAATCCAAACGAGCAAACACAATGAGGCCCTCACCTTACGTGGCGATGCGAAAGAGGCACAAGGAGAGAAGGTGTGTCCTCACATCTCTCCAAAGGAAACATGGTCCTGACAACATGCTAGACTCTACGTTCGGGTCAAGCAGCAAGGAGAAACCCCAGCGTTTCGTACGCAGAGAGCCAGGCTTTAGGATGAGCCCGGAGGACGGTTCTACATCTAAGGCAGAGCTAAGTCGGCTACTAACCATCTCGTTTAGGTGCCCTCTCACTCTGGCAGCTGGGAACTGGCAGAGGGAGGAAAGGGGGCGATGTGTCTGCCCCATCCCGGAAGGTGGCAACAGCGGAGGAAGCAAGCGCGTTGGCGTGCTCAGAAACCGCGTCCAACACATGCACATTCACATAGTCAGCTACGAGAAACCGAATCAGTTCAATCTTTCTCTCATGGTCTGAAGGCAGGATGGAGAGCAGCAGTACGGAGGTGGAGAGCAAGTGTGGGCGGGGTGGGAAGGTGGCAAGTGGGCAACAAGGAGAGAGGATGAGAATGAAGAGAAAGCAAAACAGATGAATGAACATGCAGAATACATTTGATACGCAAAGAAACGCGCGGTCGCCAATCAGTTATGAGGAGTTACATACAAAAAGCAGAGAGATTTAGGGACAGGGAGCTTATGAAAATCTGTAATAAGAAGACCAGAAAGTTGGCAGGGAGAGAGAGCCCTATCGTTTCTGACTTCCCATTTAAATCAGGAACCAAGAATCCTAGCTCCTGCTAGACACAGGAATATGTAAGCACACACCGAGTGGAGCGGGAATGTGCAAATGGTTTCTATCTGAAAAGCCATCAGAATCAGAGCCGTGTCACCCCAAGGAGGGCTCACCTGGCTTGGAGAGCGGCATGGGCGGAGGGAAGAAGCGTCGAGATGGCTGAGGCGGGCTGCAAAGGAAGGGGACAAAGTTCAAGACTGAGAAAGGGTCCCATCAATGGCGTGTTTAAATCCCCTCTAGAAACGGATCCCTGGCACTTGCAAATGAGGCCTAATATCAGATACCAGATATAACCCCACACAGTGAAACTGAGGCTAAGACATTTTAACAACAGTGCCCTTGGGTTAATAAACAGTTAATAAACAGAAGTTTTCTGTTAACACGGACACTCTGCCATCTCCCAAAAGGCCCCATTGCCGCTCTCCTCATCACTTTCAACGTCTCTACTTACAGCTTATGCTTCATATAGTTCTGGGTTAGTTAGGAACAATTAACACAGAATTCTCATGTCGCATCACCTCAACTCTCTATCCTATTCAAAGTCTCTTCCTACAAAAGAGACAGCACCCCAGGTCAGCTGGGCAAAATTCAATGCGCTCTACCTACAATTAGTGGTTCGGTGGCTTAGAAAAAAGGTGGTGACGTTTCTAAAGAGGAAATTATCAGGGCCCACAGAAAACTGTTCTTCAGTTCTCTTAGTCCCGCAAAAGATTTTTTCCTTCCCGTCAAGCGGCAATGACAGTAAGAACAAGCCAACGATAATATCAGCAACAAGAATCTTTGCTTCTCTGGTCCAAACCTGTTAAGGTCCTGTCCTTGCAGATGAAGCGGGTGCTGCTGATAATGCCCAAAGACTTCAAATACTATCGGCTTGGTTTTGATATAGTCCACGAATGATTCAGTGACCTCCACTGCAATCTAATGAGGAATAAAGCCAAGCTAGATTAGGGAATGATTTACTCTAACAAACCCATATTTTTGCTGCAGTCAGAATTTTAGCACTTCTGAGTAGCCAGGGTGTGCTGGGGATTTGACTCTGCGGGTCTCCCACACCAAGACAGGGGCTCCGCACTGGTTTTCATTCTAAAGCTACTTTAGTAATAAGCTTTAGGCCTTCAAGACCCTCCGTCACCTGCACCTGCTGCCCTTTACACACTTACTGTTTTAGCATAAACTCACCTGCCGCTCCTCTCTCCCCTGTTGTGCCTGAGGACCTGCACAGGCTATCGCCCTGCCTGTAAGGCCTGCTCCTGTCTCTGTGCCTGTAAGTCATTCGCAGACTTCCAGGCCTGGCTCGAATAGTAACGACAGTGAGAAAACCATGCCTGTTGACAAGGCACCAGGTACATAACCAAGTCTGACCCACCTTTTCTTATCACGCTACATCCTTCAGAAAGTTCCCACCTCCTTTCCCCACCCAACTACCAACCCCGCCCCTGCCCCCACAGAAAAAGTAACCTAAAGTATCTTTCTGTTAATGGAAATAACTTTCCCTTCTTTCTACTTCCTTTGCATTTAACAAATACCTTGCTAATAAGTAAGGTCTCTAGGCCATGTGATACTACCGTTTCAATATGCGTTTTATTTCTCTATCATCCTAAGCTCTTCGGGGACACAACCCTCTGTGATTCATCACTCTTCCCTGGTGGCGTCAGCACAGTCCTTGTGCACACTATCCTCATGAGCATTTCTCAGATACACGCATGCTCATACTCATGCAATTAAACATAAAGAAAGTGGGTTTCGTGTTTGCCGTTCCGTCTTCAGAGCTGTCCTTTCCGCTCGGACTTTAGAGAGTGAATACGGTTAACAAGAGAAGGAGAGCGGTTCAGGTCGTAGTGAATATCCTAGACACCACAGCCACATTGCTCTGGGCTTAAACCCCATCTCTGCCTCTTGTGAGCTCTGTAACCTTGGTGAGTGACTTGAACTGTTCTGCGCCTCAGTTATCTCAGCTGTCATTTGAGGGTCATGAGGGTCTGAGATAGAAAGGTGAGGATTAAACGAATTAAGACACACAAGTGTCTCAGAACAGTGACTGACACAAAATAAGCTTTCAAAGAATGTTAGCTATTGTGAGGATGATGACTTCTGAACAGAGTTTGGGTGACCCTTCCTGGAAGAGACAGAAGCTCTGTTGTCTTACTCCACGTCTGAGAGAGCTGTAAGGGGCACTAACGGATTAATCATAGTATCAGCTGCAAGGAAAACAGACTGAATCTTAATTTAGCTACAAAAGATAACGTAGTTTTTTTTTTTAACCTTATTTGCAACTGAGCAACGTAAGTATCTTCTAGTTTAAAGAATAATACGTTAACTTTAACAAAACTCGTACTAAACGTGCGTATTTTTCTAGGAAGGAAACACTAAAAACAACTCACTACATTCAAACTGATAGAAGATTTTATTGGCAGACCAACCCCCACATTGTTACACAGGGAAGGCTGGCTGCACGGTCCGCTGAGGATGACCTCACCGCTCTAGCCACTCCCTCCATTGTCTATTCTCACCAGGAAGCTCCCTCCCCCGCCAGCCCCAACCCCAGGCACAGCAGTTTGGACGATCCTTCCTCCTGGGCTGAGAAAGCCAGAGCCTGCCCACACAGGACGAGGGCCTAACACCAGCCGCTATGGGGGCCCCCAAACCTGCAAGGCCTTTGGCAAAAACCACTTACATTCTGCACGTGATAAAAGCCCAGAGGACTTCCTCTGCCGTTGTTTTTGAGGGGTTCGGTGGAGAACGCTTCATCGTGGCGATGCAAAAAGCTTAATAAAAAAATAAGACACATGAATTGCACATTAAACAGTTTCATCAACATCGATGTCGTAGGAACCTGACTTGGATCGTATGGAAAGGAGCAGCCTACTCAGGCAGAGGCTTTCACTGAGCCAAGTAATTTGTAGTTCCTTGTAATGCACGTTTTCCATGATCACTCAGATAGCATTTTAGATTTTATTTCAAAAATGACCGAAAGATTAACTGACCCTGACCACTTAGCCACCTGAACGCATATGCAAGACCTCAGATAGCAGAGCAAGAGTGAATTCAGGGAATTACTGTTTCTTTGTAGGAACATATTTTACTGAGAAAACAAAATTATAAAATCATTTTGTGTAGAAAAGATGTGGCATATTCAGGCTTCTGTAAGGTAGTGCTAAAGCCTGTGTTTGGCATTCTTGCCTAGGAGTCTCCCTAAAGACCTGCAAAGATTAGATTTAAACGTCAGCTCCTCCAGGAAGTCTTCCCCAGCTCACCCAAACAGTTCTGTCTTCCCACAGCACTAGGGACCCATCTTTTCCTCGACAGCAATTTCACTCTTTAAAATAATGTATTTACATGCCTGTCTCCCCGAGAGACAGCGAGTATCTCCTACAGTGCTCCAGATACAGAAGATACTCCTGAAATATTTGTGAAGCGATAGACTATGCTTATTCTCACAGACTGTGAGTTTTTATTGTTCTCTCTTCCTCCCTATTAGCCTGAAATGAAAAGAGGTAGAGAATTAAAGCAAACTCAATACAAAGACTTACTCCCAGACAGAAATATCCATCGGAAGGACATCCCACAAGAAAACAAGGCGGGGAAAGGAATGAATACTTTGAATAGGGTGCCGAAACCAGGATTATGAACTCCCTGTCTTCCAAATCAGCTCACGGAGTCTGAGGGCAGCAGTGTACTTTTGCCCCACATTCCTCATCCCAGATGCCACCTGCTGCCGGCACTGAAGCGTTCCGCACTACGTGCACCTTATTGGTTTTCTTCTCACTCTTCTCCTTAGCCCTCTCTTTCTCTCCTACTTGTACATCTTACTCCTTTTTTTCCTTCCAATTTCTTCCTATCCAGACCATACACCATACGTGCCAGAGGCTCCAGGGGCATTACTTGATTTGCAATCTATACTCCTCCATGTTCTGCTTATTACAGCAGGTACAAATATCCTGGGGTTCCACACTGGTGATGCATGAAACTGTCCATACTGCTTGACAGCTGTGTCTTCTCTACACAAGCCAGATAAGAGTCTGTAATAGCTCAAGAAGAATCTGAATCTTCTTTCAACATGAGTCAACATGCCGTCTTCTCCAGAGCTGACCCCAGGTAGAGATGCTGCTCTCTCTTTGGAGATGTTAGGACAAAAGATCAACCTAACATTACTGACATTTCAGGTGCCAGTTAACCAAGGAGGTCTGTTTCCTAAAATATTCCAGTTGCCCCACAAGAATAACGATGAAAGCTCAAAGCAACTGGTTCATCTAGCAAACTCCATTGCACACCCACCCCCCACCCATGTTAACTTAGGGTTGCCAGTGAAAACACACTGAATGGGCAAAATCAATACTTCAACAACAACTAGGAGTTAGAGCAAATGACATTAGTGGTCTACTATGCAGTAATCACATTTGCTTCAGGACTTGGCTAAAATCTCTAGAAAGGCGGTGCTTTGTCAACTGCATTAGGATGCCTGGGAAGGCCGAGGCACATTCTGAGGGAGAGGGACAGCAGAACTTTCTAGAGCAGCCTCGTGGTGGCACCAGGGGCCAACTGATGGAACAGGGCGGGTCAGATGCCACTCTCTGTGGCCCTTCACAAGTACTGAAAAGATATACTGATGTCTGGAGGCATTAAACCTGAAGACTGACAAAAAAAGTGTTTTCCGAGGGAGGTGTTAAAAAGAATTCCAGGGCTCAAGAGGGTTACAGGCTGGAGAGAGCTTGTAGCGGAGGAGGAGCCAAACCCGTCACATCTTCTCCACATACTAGCTATTTTTCAGTTGATGTGGAATTTTACTCTCCTTTATATTATTTAAGTCAGTATTCAACAGGCATAATTGGTGGATGGACAATTCGCTGCCTTCAGGCTTGTTTATTGGTAAGATACTGCTCCATGAAGAGCATTAGAATGACTAATAACCAGGCTTATCTAGGTCAGATCCTGTACTGCCAGCAGAGGGGACAGGCCACAGCGGAACCCTGTGGCAGATGCACGGTCACACTCCTCCCCACGGCCAACTGTCTTTCATACCATTTTACGTGCCTGGTAGCAGTCCCATCTGGGGTGAAGAAAGCCTTTATTTCAGAAACTGCTGGTTGTGTACCTGATGAGAGCGGTACTACGTCACATATGTGGTACATCCTGTGGTTCACAGAGGACTGGGTCAACAGCCAGGATGGCGGAACCGGGGGCGGCTTACTTGAACTGACAGAAGATGTCTGCGTACTCCGGAAGGATCCCACTGGCCTGTAGCACTGTCACGCGGAAAGTGAAGGCGCTGCCCAGTTTCAGGTGGTTGCCAATCTCTTCAGAAAACCCTTCCATGACCATCTTACCATCCAGCAAAGTGCTTGACTTCAAATCTAAAGAGGGGCAAATTAGCACACAGGTGATCCAAATAATGCACACCACCTTTCAAAGAGGAGAGAGCAGAGCATTTCCGCTCCCAGTGGATGAAAGCAACTGTCCCTCTTGACAGTGCTCAATATTTTCCCCTCTTCGAAAATGTCCCCATTCATAGTAAACTCTGTCTACGTACCCAAGTCATTCATTCGATTGATTTCTTCTGGAGGAGTGATGACCTCAGAACTCTGACCCTGCCCTTCCACAATCCTCAGTTCCTCCAGAGACAGACCAGAACGAGTCATTGCCACGGAAGAAAAGTCATTCTGAAAACAGGCAGGAGCAGGCGGATGATCAAGCTGCACGGCAGTGTGTTTTCCCCAATCTCCTTACTTATGTCTATTTGCCCAATAAGTAACGGTGACTGGAAAGCTATGTGCATTGAGAGCTGCCTGAGAAAAGGCGATACAATAAAATATAAATACCCCTTTACCTCTGTAAGCGTTAGATGTGTCCCATGATCTACGAACAACCCCGGGGTTACCCATCTTTTGTGATTCTAGTCAGAAGAACGGTTCTCCGGTGAACACCCTCCTTATAAACCTGTCTTCCACTTTCTCCTTTTATGAGGTTTTTCTCCTTCCAGAAGGCTTCTCACCTGATTAAAGTACTCGTTATCAAAAGATATTTTAGCTGTTCCTGATTGTCGAATTCCGGAGCCATAATCAGGAGCTTCCTCATCCGCTAAGTAGGGGGGAAAAAAAAGGATCAAGTGAGACTACATATGAGGCAGGGGGGAATGGCTCCTGTTGGATCATAAATAGGAAAGTAGTGGGGCCCTCCAGTTCGAGAACTTTAATAAGAGATATTAAAGAATAAGGCTTATGCATAAGAAAGGAAGAAAAGCTGGAAGCAGGAAAGTCACAAAGGGCTGCTTCCAGCTCTACTCAGGTAAATTTACCAACCTGCTTAGCTCAAATGAGGCTAGTTAATAAAGAACCAAGTTTTATCCTTGATATTGTTCAAATGTCATACCTAGAAATACCGATCCTTCGCTTGGCAAGATGATGTTCAATACCACCCAACAAATATTTGAAGAAGGAATATTTGCAGAGATTTTCATAAACTCCACCCTGGCGACTATGCCACAGATTTCCATGGGGAAAAGCTGAAAGGTCGCTCAACACAACATGGCACTTGGAAATTAAAAGACAAAAACTACAGGAAATGGCCACATTCTTTCCTCAGAATGTAGGCTGGATCACGGAAAAGTATAAAATATCGGAATCTTGATCCAGGCCCAACAAAAGAGAGGCAAAGGACAGAGATGTCTACCTGAAGTACCCTGCAAGAAAATTAAGCAAGACAGAGTCGTGGAAATCCTGTCACTTCTGAAGCAGTTTTACCAATGTCTTTCATAAAGTCAATCCGAGAGTTGTTCTTCATGTTAAAGGAGATCCCTTCATCCCGTTACTCCAAAATAGCTGTAGCCCAGACTAAATAGAATCCGTTTATGATACTCGGGAATAATAACTAAAAGGAAGCAGTAAAGGCTTTCTCCAAGGCAGCCCGTCAATCACGTAACCGAAGCGTGGCCCCCACACAATGGGACTGCTCTGTCTCTAGGCAAAGACTCCCCAGCTCCCAGTCCAGGAGAGGGTCACCTACCTGCAATGGCCTGCACAGCCACACGCAGAAATCCCCGCACTTCACCCTTCTCACTGACAATGGCCACCCTGTGAATCAGGGGCACAGGATACAGCAGGTTGCTCAGGTAAACAAATGCCCTGGAGACAGAAACCGGCAGACAAACATCTGAGCATCCCACAGACAGAGAGGCTGGCTTTCAGAGTTACCGAGAATATCTTCAAGAAACTGTGAGCTGGCTTCTGGGCCCTGTCTTAAGGTCACCTTTCTGTTCTGTACTCCCAGACTGCCCCCTCCCGCCCCCGCCCCCATTGCTTTTTCAGCACAGATGATACAGAAAGAAATGCAAATGCTTGGTAAAGCAGTTGACAAAGACCAACTTATACCAAATTACTTCCTATAAAAATGATGAGTTAAAAAAAA